CGACCCAGATTTAGTGTTCCTTTCGTGCATGTAATGACGTTTATCCTTGTTTTAGGAGTGTCATTGGGCCAAGACAATTTTCTTCACGACAGCGCTCCTAGTTAAGTGGGATTTGTCAAGGGTAATATTTAACTGTACCGCTTAAATATTAACTTGTACATATATACAATAGTTGCATTACGCACAATTGTTAGAGGTATGGTACTTTAAATTATGTTGATTTAACCTAGGATAATTAAGAAATGACGCCGATAATTACATGGGGCAAGAGGGGTAACAGAAACCAAAAACTACTCTGGAATTTGGTCATTATTTTACATTTTTCTATACATACAATCTATGCACATCATGAAATAATAACAGTGATCAACAAAGGTTTCAGTCAGCGTTAAAAATATTAGTTTCTAATTAATTTGGGGACGCTGAATTCAAATCTGAACTTACTTTTGCTCCAACAGTTTATGTGAACTAGAACTTCATTCTCATCCCAATTAATTTTGAATTGTACTGTCTGACTGCTTGGTCATTTTATGGAAGGTTATGGTTTTGTTTGATTTTTTGTGTATTTGAGATTGTTTTATCACTAATGAATTGTATGCTTTCCCCTTTTCAGAATAAGTGATATTTTCAACAAGCCTATACACTGCCTCATGGCTGCTTAAATGACAGTGATTTTTCTTTGTACACGTGGTAGCTTTACTCCGACAAAATACACCAAAGTAGTGGTGTGAAGGTCAGGGATCAGGACAATCTGTGGGCACCTCGCTGCTGTGACTTGCTCCAACTCCTTACGCTAGTGGGTTGCTAGACGTGATGCAGGCCATTTGCAGACCCGATGGTATGGAGGGAACCAAAGCATTACACCTCGTATTATTTCTGTATCACAGGTGTCGGGGTTTTCATTAAAAAAAAAAACAGAAATCTTAGGTTGTTTATCAAGTTTATCGGAAACCCACCAATAAAAATGATCTCACACACTTCTATTCCAGTCAAGATACCAAGACCAAAAGAGGCATCATCATCGGGTTTTTCCTAAGAGCATACCGAATTTGTAGTCCTGAGTTTCTTGACGAGGAATGTACATACATTCACCAAACATTCACTGAATTACATTTTTCTCCTTTTTTCATCAAGACTGCAAGAAAAGAGCTCTTCAGATCATTAATTCTCCACGCATCAACACCGCTCCCAACAAAGTTATAATTCTTCCCAACAGCCAGGTTGCACTAAACGTCTCAAAAGTACTTTCACAAGCTAACACCAGAGTCGCCATCGCTTCTAGCACTTCAATAAAGGATCTAACCAAGACAAAATCCAAGCACCACGAACCAGTCAATGCAGGAGTTTACACTATACCCTGTGGAGGCTGTGACAAGATCTACGTAGGTGAAAGAGCAAGAAACCTCGACACCCGCCTCAATGAACACATTTACGCATGTAGGAACGATAACTTGAACAACGCCTGTGTACAACACCGAAATTCCACCACTCATCTCATGAAATTCAGAGACGCCCAATTAGTGATCAAAGAAACTAATTTCCGCAGACGCAAGTGCCTCGAATCAGCAATGATCGCTGTTTCGAATACAATTAAACAAAACAACGGCAGCTTCACCATCTCCGAAGTCTTAGCAAGAATCCTCATGAAAACAGTAAACCCTGCCATCACATAGTCTCTCCTGTTATACTACACAACGCACATTACAGAGTGAACACTGAAACAACCTGCCTCTTTCCAGTCTATATTTGTCCAACCTATTTTTATGTTACCCAAGTAATAGCTTTTATATCCTTTTACTCATGTACGAATTAATTGCTCTACCATATTGTATTATTTTTGTCACTACTACTACTACTACTACTACTTCTACCACTAGTGAACATCGAAATGGTACCTCACTAGTATTGCACCTCACTCTGAGCCTTTATATACCCTCTGTGTCCATGTATTGTTTGTAATGGCTTGATAAAGCTCCTGGGGAGCGAAACGTTGCCACAATAAAATGTCACATTAGTTGCACTTGTGTCCTTTTACTTTACAAAGCTATGTATGTTCCCTTTGGATGATAAAGAAGCCACAAATTCCGATTCTGAGTTTGAACCGGTTGGAGTCGTGAGTCGACCAGAAACCACATCTCGTGACTGAAAGTGACCTTAACGATCTTGTGCGTGATCTTAATTTATCCACTGAACAGTCAAGAGCTACTTGGCTCAAAACTGCGCCTGTGGAATATACTGAACCCAGACACAACAATCAGTTTGTTCAGAAAATGACAGAAAAGACCAGAAACTTACTTTAAATACAGAAGAATCAGTATGTTACTTTATAGATTCCAGAAAACAGATCTGAAGGTAGTCTTACTTCACTTCACTTCACATACTGCTTTAGTTTTTGCTTTGTTGTAGACTTCAAAGAAACATGTGAAACAATGCAAAAACTTGTCATTGATTGAATATGAGAAGTTTAGGGAAAAAATTGTGACCCAAATGTAATAGGTTTGTAACTAGGACTGCAAGGTGGAAATACATAATACTGCTGGTTCCTGTGCCTGTGGGACACTCGAAATACATAACACTACACTCGTCGTACGTAGCCAACTCGAAAGTCATAAAAGACAGGCGTAAAGAACGTTCAACATAGGCCATTAGTCCATCCAACGATATACTTTTTCCGCCTTTACACATCCTGCTAGGCCTCATTAAAAACTTCATCTGCGCTTTGGACAAAGATGGTGCAGGATTTGCTTATCTGGGGAGGCTTCCCAAAGATAGTGACACCAAATTGAAAGAAGATATATTCATTTTGAGGAAAGTCTCCAAGATACTGAACTGAGAGCATGGGTGGCATTCAAGAACACTTGGGCAGATTTCTTGGGCAGTCATCATAGTGATCACGGAACTACTATAAAAGAGCCATTGACAGAATGTCTAATGAAATGTCGGATGTTCCTCAAGACTCATTTTCTTCATTCTCACCTTGACTTTCCTGCCAAACCTTGATGAAGTTAGTGACGAACACAGTGAACGATTTCACCAAGATACAGCCATCATGGAGAAGAGATAGCAGGAAAACCTTACCATCAGCTCGATGGCCGACTACTGCTGGGCACTGGTGAGGGAGAGAGATACTGGAAATTTCTGTTAGATCTATTATGCGCATCTATCCATACATAACACATGTTTAAAAGATTAGTTTTTGCCATAGCATCCCAAACTCTTAATGTTTATGCATAATATAATGCCTATGATTGTTAGGTAACATGTAATTCTTCAAATTTAAATATCCAAAATACTGATCATAAGATTAAAAAAAAAAAACTTGTGATAGAAACTAAACAGGTTTAAACCTTAACTCTTAAACTGCTATTTATGAACACATGAGGTTTGACAGATCATGCAGGATATCTCCATTGAAAAGTAGGGAAGTGTTGGAGTGCGGACAGCTTGACCGATCTGGCCAGCAACGAAGAGGCCTTGTCTGAGACCGAGCCGCGGGGGCGGTGACCTCTGGAATCGACTCCAGGTAAGCGCTTCAAAGCTAACTTAAAACTAATTTGGTTTCTGAACTGGATAAAGTTAAATTTTGTGGGCTAGTTTAATTTATTGTGTAAATTGTTATTTTGGGAGATGTAAGGAAAATAAGCACATTTATTTAGGTCTCGCAGCACTCTTGTCTCGCGCCTGGCCCCAATGTAAACAAAGACGGGTGGCGTTTTCAGGTTACGTACCCTAGCCAAACGTTACCGTAACTAAACGATACTTAACCAATTCTCAGTATCTCCCAAAATAACAAAAATACTTATTCCATGATGTGTACAGGTTGTATGTAATGAAAAGTGTAAAATAATGTCCGAGTTCCATCGAGTAGATATCACTATATATATAGCCTTGAGGGGTCCTGAATAATATCCAATCACTGTACTCTTGATTTTTCCAAGCAGCCAGCCTAGGGCATTGCAGCTTAGCCAGTGGGTACCGAAATTAGTACCAGCACGCTGTGTTCCATCAACCAGTACCCAAACAAGAGCCCTTTCCCATCCCCAGGCTGGGGGCATCTCTTGGGAACCCTCCTCCCTAGCCACAGGACGAGGGGTCTCCCATACGCCCACCCCATCCCAAAGGAGAGGACTAACCCCCAACCATCCCCTTGAAGCACCTCACCTCTGTTCGTGTGGGTTCCTCACTTTACGCCGCCCCCTCTCCCCTCTTCGAAACCCACCCTGCGGAATGGAATATGACATGGAACTATTGCTAGCTTTTGCTCTCGCTATGTAACTCGTATAGAATAGGGTAGCATTAACTGGTGATATATCAGTGTTTGCTAAATAAAAAAATTACCGCCAATTATTTCACTGCCGTAACTTAGTTAATTCTTTACTTAGGTAAGTTAGGTACAGGGGCAAATACAGTGCATAAAAGTAATGTGTATTTAGAATTTAGCAATTGCAGTATCACCTGTTATAATTATTCACCAAAATGACTTAAATTCATTAGATAGATTCGTTTATTCGTCGTCTACCAAGCCTAATATATTGTCATATAATTTAATCCTTAACTCTGTGAACCACCACCTTTAATTCTGTGCCTTTCCCTAAAATGTTGTGCATCTTATGGGCTTTACATACAGTGTTATGAAGAATTTTAATCGGGTAACCCAATATAATAATGTGTGGTTTAGATTTAAACCAGTGCTTTTGAGCCCATATGTTATCCTTGGCAGCAATAACAAAATTAACTTATACTAGCCTGCATTACCACACTAATGAGCTGTTAACCCCATGAACTGCAGCATCCTGTTATTCCTTGGTGATGCCGGGTAGTTGCTATAGCTGTCTGGTGTAAATACGCCCATTAGAGACGAGGACAGAGAGGGGCCCCTCTGGTGAGTGACTTTCTATGTCGGGGGTTGCAGCGGCCACTCTACCCCAGGTCGTGACTCCCAGGTCACGGCCCACTCCACCCACTCACACCACTTGTAAAGGATAACACTAGAATCTCACCTGTGAAGTGTATAGTGGAGGTAGTGATGGTGCGGCCACAGTATGTGTTGTGGGGGTCAGCCTCGCACCACGCTGAGTCAATGTGCTTCACAGATCACCCTGGCCCAGTCTTCCTTCGTTTACCCTCGCTATCCTCACCGTTAACACTTGTTTATCGATTCAGTATACCACAGTATCGTACTCGAAAAGGAAATTGCAACGAACAACGCATCACTGAAGCACCAATACTTAAGAAAATCGAGTTAGTACCACTGAGCACCACACCAGACAGGGCTGGAGAGAGCGCGAAAAGACGTGTCCTCACCCTTCCGCGTCTAAACGCACACTGGGATCTGCCTCATGCTCTTGCCGTCTCCTGCGTCATTCATTTATCACCTGTATGACGACAGGAATACTGTAAACGTCAGTCTGGGAATACTTGATATTGGCCCATGAGAGGCGGTCCTCTTCTGACGTTTTCGCGACCTATCTGAAGCCAACTTACTAGGCTTAAAGCCATTACAATACACAAAGATCATTAAGGCTGAACTACACTTGCATACTAATATCAAGAACACTCTAATCCCTAACATAAGCATTAATGTAAACTCGGTGTATACATACTGACATACACTTCTCGGTGTATATGCCATGACCCACTAAACTTTGTTAGATTTAATGCTTTTCGATTGGGTCATTAAGGCTGCATTTCACTTGTACGTATGTATAAAGACCCCTGCATGTCCTCAGAAGGGAGCTTGCCAAGTTTCATAAGTCAGGTCCTGATCAGCCGGGCTGTGGTACATACGTTGTACTGCAAGCTGCTAGCACGAGCAGCCTGGCCGATCATTCCATGAACCAGGACGCCTGGTCTAGGACCGGGCCGCAGGAGTGATGACTCCCGGAATGGATATCAATCAAGAATCCTTAAAATGACTATTAAAAGTAAATTCTACGAATTTGCACAGAACGGCATATTATTCGATGCTGTTGAGGGGCTCTTCTCTAAGGGAATGAACCTGTTCTTTTCCTCGGATCAAACCTGATTGCCTTCCTCAGGTTTGATCTGAGGGAAGAGTCATTCCAGTTGTTTGGACCAAAAGCCCCTCATGCGATCACTACCCTTGAAAAATAAACTAGATGACAGGCTGAGAGATGTATTACTGGGTCCTCGCGTCACATTGCTTACACAAGACGACGCTTGTGTAACATTTCTTTCCAAGGAAGGCTGTCTTGATCCCGGTGGAGGGCTCTTGATCTAGGGAATGGAGTTACTCTTTCCATGAGATCAAATCTGATTCCCCAGGTACCTATGACTCCTACAAGTTTAGTGCCTTTCCATAAGTGTAATAGTGATAGTGAAGTAGGTGAGGAACGTGTGTTCCGGACAAACAGGACTCATACACGGAGCACAGGTATGCACTCCAGGTATACAATCCAGGTATACACTCATGTACACCAAATGTAAGAGTCACACACAGTTAGGTTAGAGCCTACGCACTACACAAGCCTCTATAAGCCTACGATTATGTACTTTTATCAAGAATACTCTAATCCCTATAACAAAGATTAAAGTAAACTCACTGTATAAACACAGATATAAATATCGATGTATTTATCTTATGACTTAGCGTATATACACATACGTATATTTCTCGGCGCGGGACCAGCAATGAAAAGTCACGTAGTAGCAACCCATCTTAAGCTCAGGGCTGACAGTTGCCACATGTTCCAGGATCCATATTCTTACCGAGTGTATTTCCATATTCCTCTAACACAAACAATAGACTGTGAAGGTATGGCCACGGGAAGGATGAAGATGGGAGAGAAAGAGAAGTAATAGCGTAAATTATTACGAAGACGCCGTAATAGACAGCAAGATGTAAGCACTCACTACGCTTTTTTTTTTTTTAGTCATTTTTTTCTACATGTTTCATTCGTCCAATTTCACCTTCACTCAACGCAGTTCATGTAAACTTAATGAAGTATCATTCCATTATAGGTGGAAGGCAATGATGGTGCCTTTTTTAAGGATAAATACGTCACGTATAACTCAAGATGTGGGCTACACATGAAGCAGTGTATTATAAACAAGTTGCATCACCACCCTAAAATATTGTGGCTGGAGGAGATTACCATCCTGCCGGCGGGTTCCCAAGCCTTTTCCTGCCTGCGGAAGTCTGTTCCAACGCCCGCACCTTCCATTGTTACTTTCTAAGTTTATTTAGGCACAGGTACACATAAGTACAATTATCATACATGGTGTAAATTACCTAGGATAACCCCAAAAAGTCAAAGTGACTTATTTCCACTGGGGTTCTTGCAGTCGCCAAAAACTTTAACATCTATATAGCCCCCCAGTTACAAAAAAAAAAAAAAAAATGTGAGCGATAAGCACTGAAATCAAGTATTCAAATAACTATTATTGAATTTATGCGCCGGCTGAAATTGTGCAGAAATCGACGCATCGTTTAAACTTTTTATTTCTGCTACTTATACTACACTGAAAGATTCCATAAACAAAGTCTTCCACACACACGAGGGTAAAGAGGTAAGTTGGCTCATCTTATCTTTCAGGCTTATTTTCAGGCTTATGATTCTCGTGCTACAGCCTGGCTATGAGCAGTGTCTGGCTGTGAGTAGTGTCTGGCTGAGTAGTGTCTGGCTGTGAGTAGTGTCTGGCTGAGTAGTGTCTGGCTGTGAGTAGTGTCTGGCTGTGAGTAGTATCTGGCTGTGAGTAGTGTCTGGCTGAGTAGTGTCTGGCTATGAGCAGTGTCTGGCTGTGAGTAGTGTCTGGCTGAGTAGTGTTGGTGTGAGTAGTGTCTGGCTGAGTAGTGTCTGGCTGTGAGTAGTGTCTGGCTGTGAGTAGTGTCTGGCTGAGTAGTGTCTGGCTGTGAGTAGTGTCTGGCTGTGAGTAGTGTCTGGCTGTGAGTAGTGTCTGGCTGTGAGTAGTGTCTGGCTGTGAGTAGTGTCTGGCTGAGTAGTGTCTGGCTATGAGCAGTGTCTGGCTGTGAGTAGTGTCTGGCTGAGTAGTGTCTGGCTGTGAGTAGTGTCTGGCTGAGTAGTGTCTGGCTGTGAGTAGTGTCTGGCTGTGAGTAGTGTCTGGCTGAGTAGTGTCTGGCTGTGAGTAGTGTCTGGCTGTGAGTAGTGTCTGGCTGAGTAGTGTCTGGCTGTGAGTAGTGTCTGGCTGTGAGTAGTGTCTGGCTGAGTAATGTCTTGCTGTGAGTAGTGTCTGGCTGTGAGTAGTGTCTGGCTGAGTAGTGTCTGGCTGTGAGTAGTGTCTGGCTGTGAGTAGTGTCTGGCTGTGAGTAGTGTCTGGCTGTGAGTAGTGTCTGGCTGTGAGTAGTGTCTGGCTGAGTAGTGTCTGGCTGTGAGTAGTGTCTGGCTGAGTAGTGTCTGGCTGTGAGTAGTGTCTGGCTGTGAGTAGTGTCTGGCTGTGTAGTGTCTGGCTGTGAGTAGTGTCTCGGGTGTGAGTAGTGTCTGGCTGAGTAGTGTCTGGCTGTGAGTAGTGTCTGGCTGAGTAGTGTCTGGCTGAGTAGTGTCTGGCTGAGTAGTGTCTGGCTGTGAGTAGTGTCTGGCTGAGTAGTGTCTGGCTGTGAGTAGTGTCTGGCTGTGAGTAGTGTCTGGCTGAGTAGTGTCTGGCTGTAGTAGTGTCTCGCTGTGAGTAGTGTCGGTGAGTTGTGTCTGCTGTGAGTAGTGTCTGGCTGAGTAGTGTCTGGCTTGAGTAGTGTCTGGCTGAGTAGTGTCTGGCTGTGAGTAGTGTCTGGCTGTGAGTAGTGTCTGGCTGAGTAGTGTTTGCTGGCTGAGTAGTGTCTGGCTGTGAGTAGTGTCTGGCTGTGAGTAGTGTCTCGCTGTGAGTAGTGTCTGGCTGAGTAGTGTCTGGCTGTGAGTAGTGTCTGGCTGAGTAGTGTCTGGCTGAGTAGTGTCTGGCTGTGAGTAGTGTCTGGCTGTGAGTAGTGTCTGGCTGTGAGTAGTGTCTGGCTGAGTAGTGTCTGGCTGTTTCTGTGAGTAGTGTCTGGCTGTGAGTAGTGTCTGGCTGTGAGTAGTGTCTGGCTGAGTAGTGTCTGGCTGTGAGTAGTGTCTGGCTGTGAGTAGTGTCTGGCTGTGAGTAGTGTCTGGCTGTGAGCAGTGTCTGGCTGTGAGTAGTGTCTGGCTGAGTAGTGTCTGGCTGTGAGTAGTGTCTGGCTGTGAGTAGTGTCTGGCTGAGTAGTGTCTGGCTGTGAGTAGTGTCTGGCTGAGTAGTGTCTGGCTGAGTAGTGTCTGGCTGTGAGTAGTGTCTGGCTGTGAGTAGTGTCTGGCTGTGAGTAGTGTCTGGCTGTGAGTAGTGTCTGGCTGAGTAGTGTCTGGCTGAGTAGTGTCTGGCTGTGAGCAGTGTCTGGCTGTGAGTAGTGTCTGGCTGTGAGTAGTGTCTGGCTGAGTAGTGTCTGGCTGTGAGTAGTGTCTGGCTGTGAGTAGTGTCTGGCTGTGAGTAGTGTCTGGCTGTGAGTAGTGTCTGGCTGAGTAGTGTCTGGCTGTGAGTAGTGTCTGGCTGTGAGTAGTCTGGCTGGAGGGGAGTGCGGCTGTGAGTAGTGTCTGGCTGTGAGAGTGTCTGGCTGTAGTAGTGTCTGGCTGAGTAGTGTCTGGCTGTGAGTAGTGTCTGGCTGTGAGTAGTGTCTGGCTGTGAGTAGTGTCTGGCTGTGAGTAGTGTCTGGCTGTGAGTAGTGTCTGGCTGTGAGTAGTGTCTGGCTGTGAGTAGTGTCTGGCTGAGTAGTGTCTGGCTGAGTAGTGTCTGGCTGTGAGTAGTGTCTGGCTGTGAGTAGTGTGTGTGAGTAGGTCTGGTGAGTAGTGTCTGGCTGAGTAGTGTCTGGCTGAGTAGTGTCTGGCTGTGAGCAGTGTCTGGCTGAGTAGTGTCTGGCTGTGAGCAGTGTCCTGGCTGTGAGTAGTGTCTGGTGAGTAGTGTCTGGCTATGAGCAGTGTCTGGCTGTGAGTAGTGTCTGGTGAGTAGTGTCTGGCTGTGAGTATGTCTGCTATGAAGTGTCTGCTGTGAGTAGTGTCTGGCTGTAGTAGTGTCTGGCTGTGAGTAGTGTCTGGCTGTGAGCAGTGTCTGGCTGTGAGTAGTGTCTGGCTGTGAGTAGTGTCTGGCTGAGTAGTGTTTGGCTGTGAGCAGTGTCTGGCTGAGTAGTGTCTGGCTGTGAGTAGTGTCTGGCTGTGAGTAGTGTCTGGCTGTGAGTAGTGTCTGGCTGTGAGTAGTGTCTGGCTGTGAGAGTGTGTCTGGCTGTGAGTAGTGTCTGGCTGTGAGTAATGTCTGGCTGTGAGTAGTGTCTGGCTGTGAGTAGTGTCTGGCTGTGAGTAGTGTCTGACTGTGAGTAGTGT